TATTCATTATTTTAATATTATTAATAAACAATTAATACGTTTTGTGACGGAACGGAGACAAAGGCGCAGACATCAGGGTATCGGGGAATACGGGGTTTAATTACAGGTAAGGCAGGCAAAACGCAGACGGACAATACAATGACCGGACTGGGGAAACAAACTGAAACGCGGACTAAAGACAACAAGCAGAATCAGCTGATCATACGGGGATTCCACACGGGGTTAACGAGGGGGTGTGACACATGGAAGGAGTGGACAATCGGGGCAGGACACATTGGGTTTTTTTTAACTACACATTGTTTGGATACATTTATTTTCTTACTTTAAAAATTACTGTTTTGATAAATGTACTTAGATGTGTTTAGTACAGTATATGCTTTTCTTGTTTTTTTCCGGTTCATTTTGTGTTTAAATGCTAAAAAAAACATATTTCGGTGTAATTTTTTGGGGCCGGGAACCAATTAATTGGTTTTCCATTATTTCTTATGGGGAAAATTCGATCAGAACTCGAACTTTTTAGGATTTGGTCCGGAGTTCTGAACGGATTAATTTCGAGTTCTAAGGTACCACTGTATATAAAAACTATTCTATTTAACTCACCTGTGCCAAGCTTTCATCACCGGTGCTACAATATTATACTCAGATACTTATATGGAGATAAAATACCTGTACGCCTTAATTTTGTGTGCATTTGTTTTTTCTAAACGGGGCACCTGATGACTGATGACTAATTTGGCCCTTGAGCATGAATACATTACCCATCCCCCAACACTGTCTGTCAACTATGAGTCAAGACTAAACCAATTCACCTTGGTGGTGTTCAGACTGGCTTTATACTGTTCTTAAGAATTTTGTACAAACCAAAAAAAAAATAAGAGGGAACAGCTATGTTGTTTGCTGCAGGAACACCAGGACCTCTCCTTGTTGAAAGAGAATGGTTGCATTAACACCAGCGGTGCCATATCTATCTGTATGGGTATGAAAACCCACCAGCTCCCCCCGGGTTTAATATCAGGTGGCAGAGGAGAAGATTCATTAGATGGCTGCTGCAGTAGTAATCATGCCCTCTTCTAGCCCATGGGCCACCTCTGCCATCCTTGTCTGTAAGAAGGGTGGCAGTTGGCATTTCTGTTTGGACTGCTGCCATCTCTACGCTGTCACCAAGTGTGACTCCTACCCCCTGCCCTGCTTTGCCGATGTACTAGATGCACTGTAAAGTCGTTACTGGCACGTGGTGCTGGCATACAAAGCCAAGGAGAAGACGGCATTCACACTGGGGCAGGGGCTATGGCAGTTCAGGCCTTTGGATTGTGTAATGTGCCCACCACCTTTGAACGCCTAATGAAACAGGTGCCAGAAGGGATTCCACAAAGCCTTTTCTAGAATTTAGAATTTAATTGTCATTGTTGACACATCACAGCACACAGTGCACAACAATGAAATGTGTTCTCTGCATTTAACCCATTTGTGACAATGTAACACAGAATTACCCACTCTTTCAACCACCTATATCATTCGCGAATGTTGATTTTGGAAGAACATGCAGAATTCATTCATTCATCTCGTGCTCAGGCCACTGTTCGCAGCACATACAATACAGTATACATTCATATCTGTTGGTGTAACTAAGAAAATGGTGGTAAAAAGGTTTAAAAAGACCAAGACATTGTAGAGATGATAAAATTGTATTATACATATGATATTTTTTGCATATAAAATAAAGGCCGACTTACAAACAAATTGTCACGCTCACACGGGCGGGACGGGACAGCTGCAGGCAATTTCCTAATGTTCTTAAAGTGGATGAGTCCTCACAATCATTGTGAAATGTTGTTGCCATAATTAGGAGCATTACCAAGCATTAGTCTGTCGTTTGTCTTCCCCGCTTGCCCTGCCCTGCTTGTCTCGCCTGCCCTGCTTGTCTCGCCTGCTCTGTCCTACGCTCCCGACCCATCGCCATCATTCCTCCTTCCCGTTCGTCATCTCGTCCCGTGCCTGTCCGTAGGACTGACCTCCCCGGCTTACGACCTCCTGCTTCCATACCAACCACGACCTTGGATTACCCAATTGGGTTTGTCTGCTCCCGGTTGCTCAATAAAGCACCTGCTCTCCAGCATTACAGGGTCTGCCTCCTGTCTGCTTGCCGGTCGTAACACAAATCGACTTACGACCGGTCAGTCAGAACAGATCGTGGTCGTAATATGGTTTTTGTTTTATAATGTCCTTCTGATTAATACTTCAATAATGAATTGTATTATTTTTTTTTTCTCTTTACAGAGGCAAACAACATTTTAGGCACTCATTAAAATGCATGAGTACTTTGGTTATTGGACAGATTATCAAATTCTATCTGTCTTTTTTATTATTGTAACCCTTCTAATATTTACACAGAAATTGTTAAGTACTCTTGGGTTACACCAACGATTTTTTGCAACCTTGTGATTTGAAATTACATAGTGAAAAATATAGATTTTCACATAACTTTTAACATCATTTTCACATTTTTAAATTGCTTTAAGAGTATCCCATATCATAAATATGAAGTATTACACTATTAAATATTGAAATAGCTTCGACGTAATTAGCTACTTTTTCTCTATAGCTTGTAGTGTATTGCTGTTTGGGTTCCCCAGGTCTAAAAGACAAGAGAGCCGCAGTTCCATGATTATAATGGGGCTTATAAAGGTCTATCCGAACGTGGAGCAACTTGAGCAAGTTCATACTTGTCTTGATCTTCTTGTTTTGCTTAAGTTTTTTAATGTAAATACAGCCTGTCTGTACATGCACACGGAACACACCCATCTTCCCGTAAGACGGTTAAGGTAAGAAAATGACAGCTTCCTACTGCGGACCGGCATCGTACGTTATGGAAAAAATTAACGGACCGGTCAAACCTGTAGCCCGGGGGGTGGAGGGGGTTCGATTGGCGGTAGATTAAATAACTGTCCTTTTTCTATTTCTTTTCAAATGCAAAAAAGCATGGCTTGGAAATATATTTAGTAGTTTATTTTTGGGAAATCGGATTATTCCTCCCGAAAACCCCCGCCATGAATGCTCGTGTATTGCTGTGTACGTCTGTAAAGCACCAAATATCACAAGGCATGGAACTGAAACTATCACGGAATGAATAAATTGCTTTTTAAAAAACATGGAGTTCACCTTTCTCCTTCCACTAGGTTTTAAGTGCATTTTCAATGCACTCATTTAAGGAAAGGACTTAGAGTTGGGTATGAACGATAGGGACCATTTTTGTGGGAGTACGTCTATATTAAACTATGTGACGGTGCGGCAGTAACCGGTTGTGTCTTTGCTCTTTTTTTTATTTGATTCGCAAAACATTGCAGTTCCGATGGGCCTTTTCATTTCCGTTTATTAAAACAGCATCATTGTTGTTCACAATCCAATGATTGCATCGTTGGCTCGCCGATTATATGGGATGTCGTTTTGAACATGGGTGGGGCACGACCAACAGTCACACAATAGCAGCGCACATGCATTCATATGGGAAAACAAAATGCCAAAGATGGAGGAGATTTTTTGTGCGTTTTCGACTGGTAAACACTTACAGTAAAAATGCATCATGCCTTTGAAATGTGGCAGAAAGTTTGAGGCGGGATGTCTGCTTACTCTCCTAATGATCCCAGGTAAGTTTTCGTAACATACGTCCTACATACTGTAACAGCCTGGAAAAGTTTGATAAGGAGTGATAACGTGTTTAAGGTGAAAACACTTATTTTACAAAAATATTTTAAGTATAATCTTTCGATATTAAGTCCGCATTCAACATTTGTTTCAAACGTTGGAAAAATGATCAAAAATGCACTTTATTGTTGAACACGAAGAGCACGAGTTTCCGCATATAACCGATACCCCTTTGTGTTGTATTCCTGGGTTTGCTGTGCTTCAGAATTTCCAAAACGAATTACATCCAAATCTCATATTTAGTTGAACGGTTAACCGACCGATGAAATGGCGTAAATATATATATGTGAAATAAAAACCATTTTAAAGAATTCATTACTGAAGATGATGAGAGATATGTTCCTTTATTTTTTTATTCAAATCTTGCATTTGAAATATCTGTGGTTTGAAATATATTTAAATATTCAAACATTTATGACCAATTTCCAGCCAGTGGCGCCCCCAGGAATTTTTCATAGAGGTTGCCAGACTGGGCCATTGAAAATCTTGTGGCACCAGTGATTGGTGGCCGTGGTCCCCTTTGACAAGTGATGGAGACTA